ATCACCACGAAGTTCAATATTGCCAGTGGAAATACCTAAAACATTACAATGCACATAAAATGCATAACTATAGTAAATTATACATGACACTGTGATTAATGCATCCCATACCTCCTAATGGTACACTACTTCTCATTCCAGATGGAGGGTTGGTCAGATATGGACCCGATACTTCTAGAAACAAATAGTTAGCTTGGTGTGTGTCAGCCCAGCCCAAATATGGACCTGACACATTCTGTGCCTCCAAATACAAGATTGGGATCTCTCGCCATACATAACTATCAGTACTCTTGACAATACCATAGTTCTTGAAGGTTAGGTTTCCTAGAAGGTCGACCAAGGATTCATCTTGGCTGTAAAACTTCAGTGGTGCAGCATTAGTGACTACAGCCTGACTATTGAGATTTCCCCCTTTACTGGAATTATAGTAGTTGTAGATTAGTATTTGCTGTTGAGGCCGAAACCAAATATACAGCATTGACAGCACAAGGAAAGCGAGCGTAAGTGAAATAAGAAGCCTTTTCATTGAACTGTACAGAAATAAACACAGGTTATCATAGAGCTTGTATATCATGGGTTATGAAAATAAAACTATATTCTATTTCAAGCTGACAAAATTTGGAGCTGAAGCCCCTAGCCCCTCCTATTCTTACACCTATGCTAAACTCCTCTAATGTTTTGTACAGAAGCTCTCAGCAAGAGACTGCTTTTTCTATGCATTATATTACAAATATATTTGTAGGCTTCACTTATGATATAATACAAAACATAAAGCACAACCATTATCTTTTTGCCACCATGTTTTTTAAAAAACAGGACTGTATCTAGTCTACATGTCCTGTAACATGTACAGACATTACAGGACATGACATGTTAGACTATTGCAGATCTAATCTACATTGCTACTATTGTTATTATAATTTTCATGTGGTTTTGGTGTGGCATACCTCTTGGAGAATGGCGTACTGCCACCTATATTCTTGGTGTCCTTCTTCATGGGAAACATACTTAGTCAGGCGTGGCTTGACCCTTGCTGAGGCGATTGTGTGATAAATAGAATTCATGCAACTATTAACTAGATTTATAGCTTTTAACCACTCCCTCCCTTTATTGCTTATCATAACAAAAAATAAGTAGCCTGACTAAAAAATTAATAAGTAGCACTATTTTTATGTCTTTAATCAATTTCTAATATATAAACAGTCATTGGCTCCACTTTTAAAGGCAATTTCATATCCAAAATTTCAGACATGTAGATTTCTTTAGCTGTCGTGACAAGCTTTCCATCTATGCTCAACCTGACTTCGACTGGTACTGTTAATGCGTTCAACACAAATGCAATGGTAGATTCTTTGTTTGGCATTTTAGCTCCACGACAAAGCATTCCCCATGCAGTCGTATTAGTGGATTGATCAATGCAAGTGACAATTTTGTCAGCATTAGCAGGAGTTAGATACAGCTCCATTGCTTGCAATAGTTTTTGAGGATCTTGGTCTGGAAAATGAGGTAGATCTTTCATCCACTCTAACTCTGAGCTCATTCTGGCATCTCCAATGGGCGTAAAATGGAATACAGTTTTGCTGCCAGTAAAAATAACCTTTCCATTATGATCCTTGACATATGATCGTACAGTATCAACTATTTCATCAGATACATAACTTTGTCCTGGTATTACTAGTACCTTACAATCCCTGTTAGTGAATGTCTCAGGACCTTGCACCAATGGTTCTGCTATAAATTGGGGCTGCGGACCATAGAATGACACTGCTTCAAATGTGTCTACTTGTGAATATAGATAATTCATATCTTGTATGGAAGAATCCCTCGACCATAGCATACAAATTGGCTTAGGTGCTTTTGCTAGAGCTAATACCTCATTACCTAAAGCATTAATCATTGCAATAGTTCTGACAGAACTATCAACAGCTTGTGGCAGTGTTGGGTAAGTATCGACAATGTCGTTTACGTATGAGCGATAAGATCCATTGGCATTTCTAGTCCAGGCCCAAGACTTGTGTAGAGCAAGTCCATGCAAATGTGTTAACCATATAACAGCTGACATGTGGTTATCGGGAATTGAAGTGTTTCGGTAATTTGAAGTTGATATAGGGTGGGTTTCAAGGTCGACAACCGGTTTGTTTGGGCTTGTCGTTCTCATCCATGTGTATGCTATGGCCGGTGTGATCCAATCAAGAGCATATTGACCGGAATTTCGGAAAGAAATATTGTAAAAGGTGTACGGTGCTGTTGTAATGCGAGTATCGCATCCACTCCATTCTGTTAGGTTGCTATTCAGAGCAATTCTGTCAACACCATTGCAATAATGGTCTAAGAATAGCTCATGATTGATGTACTTGATGTGTGTTTTGGCTGTGGGATCGACTGATTTGATAATCTTTGATATATTGGAATAATAGTCAAAGATTCTGTCCCCGTTAAATCTGCAATAGTCATAAAAATGTGGGCCACCAATCAATGACTGATCGAGCATAAGAATAGATCTAGATCCCTTTTTAATAAGTTTAACTGGAAAATAAACCTGATCAAAACTGGAGTAGGATTTTTTCCAAATTGAATTAAGCTTCAAAATATTTCCATACTTGTCCTCTAACCACTGATGCCATTTAGCTACTGTATATTCAGACACTTCTGCTGTCAGGTTATAGCTTACACCAAAGTGAACTTCATTACCTAACCTATAAGAATTCACTGCTGGATTCGATTTTAACTTTTCAACCAGTGGGGTAAGCCCTTGCCTCCAAAGATCCATGACCACAGGATCGTCAGTATTTAGGTAACAATTTGAACCGCCATATTTTTTCAGTTCAGGATCACTTTCAATCACCCAATCAGGAAACAGACAGTGCATTACAAGGTTACTTGATAAATCAAACAAAGTGTACAATTGGTCAAAGTTATCTGCAATTCGATCAATTTCACTATAGTTGAGCTTGCCTTTTGAAGGAAAAAGGAATCTCATGTCAAGAAGAACTTCATGGGAGTCTTGTGCAATGGGTAGCAACTGAAGAAGTATATCACTTTCAACTGTTGAATACGATGGTAGATCATAGCCTCCAGCAAATATTGGTTGCATGGTCATGCTATTAAAAAAGTATCCATCAATTTCCTTCACATCTTTAAATTTATGCGGTGGAACTGGTCTGCGATGCAGTGATGGATTTTGCATGAGCTTTTCCAACTCCATTGCTGCTTTGTCCAATATGTCCAGCGTCTTATTAAGCTCTCTGCAAGGAACTGCTTTACCAATGTCACACCCATTTTCCCCATAGAAATCAGAGTACTGTTTGCACAAGATATCAGTATTGTTGATATCATACAGACTGTACTGAAGGAATAGAGTAGAGACATTGAGTGTTATATACTCATAGGAACAATCAATGCCAGTGGCACTTGCATTAGCCACAAGATCAGCCAATGCATTCCTCTTTACAGCAACTTTTTGATACAGTGAGTCAAAAACATCTAGAGAACAAGATGAGACCACATAAATGATAGAAAATACTGCCAGGATATGGAGTAGTAGCTTCATTCTCTGCATCCCTTCGAGGTCACATGCAGTGCAATATTCATAAGAGCTATGAATAATCTATCAGACTTTTATTATCCAATTATAACCTGACCTGACAACCAGCAACTAAATCTATGGTGTGATCGCGTCATGTTTCCCATAAAGAAGGACTCAAAATATAAAGGTGGCAGCAAGTCATTTTCCATGAGGTACAGAATCCCACGAAATAAGTAAACATGCACCTGACAAGTCAAGTGTATCATTGACTGAATGTGATGCATGGTTAAAAGTAGGGCGGGGCTATTTGTAGCAAAGGAAATTTGGAATTTTGCCTTGGTCATGTTGCAGCATCTAACAGGAAATGTTTTTAAAGAACTGTAATATTTATCCTAATTTATACAATATTCATGCGAGTAGTAGGAGACCCCTTGGGTTGCATGCCTTATTTCAGTTAATGATTCATATATTATGTTCATTTCATCATAGCTCCATAAAGATCATCCTCATTTCACTTACGCTCATTTTCCTGTTGCTGTGTATTTGGTTTCGGCCTCCACAGCAAATAC